AATTCATTCGCAGATACATGCTTTATCTTCAAGAGCAAATGAATTGACTGTACTTACCGATGAAGAGACTAAGATACAGCCGAGTGGCATATCGTTGATGTCTGATAACTTTTGCTTGATCTGTTACTTGATCATCATTATTATCATCTTCAGCTTCATCACCAACAAAAATATTGTAACTGTATAGTTGTTCAAAAAGCTGTAGAATAAGCCTCTTGGGATTCATTGTAAGGAACTAAAAAAAACTATGGACAAACCAAATTGGTATGTCTGATGTCCGCGACACCAGTCGCTGCAAGCGACTAGCTTGTGATATATTTATATGTAAGCTTCAATTAACTGTTGTTCTTTGTTGTATTCACTAGAATTAGTATATGATTGAGTTGTGACTTGAGAAGTTGAAGATTGTATGAAGAATTTCTTATCTGAAAGTTTAAATTATTTTTTCAAATGAATATCAATGGGTTGACGTCAAATTAGGCACAATATGACTTAAAAATAATGAGAAAAACGGTAGGGAAGTGATTATACTATCGTCGAAGATCACACTGATGCAACTCACATAATGCTTACGTTATAGTAGATCAGAAAAAAGCATAGATATAGGTAATCAAATTCTTCAGGTTTATGTATCGTTCTTGAAAATATCTTGATTAACATCAATGAACTATCAGAGACAAATATTATGTCTCAAATGGACACTCGATCGATGTCTGACTAGTAGAAATTGAATCTAGATCGCTGAGAAGAAACACTCTTTACTGTTTAAAAACGTTTGTCTTAAAACTTCTCTTAATAGTTATGTAGAAAACTATGCAACCATAGAAATTCAATAAGTTTCCTTCGATATACTGAATTTTCACTCAAAATCAGTTATCAATTCGTTTTCAATATTCAAGATTTTATAAGGAATATGAACGGTAGTGTTCCGGGTCCTCAGAACTCTTGTTCTTGAAGAACTCGAGCACATTTTATAGTGCTTTATAACGATTTCAAATGCTTTCAACTACATAAACAATGTTATATTACTTTATTATTATACGCTACCATGACTTGCAGTTCACTAGGAACATGAATCCTATATGTCCCTCGACAGTAGAATAGTCTTATGGAAAAAAACTGCATTTGTATGTAAGTCCGACGATCAATGATCACGGATCAAACACTTCAGATGAACTATCATTAGGGGTAGGCGTAGTAGTGAGCGTGAGTTAGGGTTTCGCTTAGAAAGAAACTCACATCCACATCAATATACATAACCCACACCCAAAATCAAACTGAATAATCCAACCCTCTACTAAACCACACAAACCAAAAGTGAAACTTCAACTGCATACTCAGACTCTCAGCTCAACGTAACACCCAATAACCAACAATCTACCAGAATAATAATACTCGAAGCCCCATTTCAACCGACCAACCAATCTCTAAGTGAATACCCGAATACCCAGCTTAATCGAACACCCAACACCCAGCCTCTTAATAAATACCCGAACTTCCACCTTACTTGCACACCCAACAGCCAAACCCTAACTGAATACCCGAACTTCCACTTTCATTTAACACCCCACACCCAGCCTCTTATTGAACGAGTAGTACCTGAATATTCGTTTTGGCTTTCAGGGATCCCAATATTCCCGGAATATTTTTCGAGACGCTTGAAGGATACTAGTATTCCGGGAATACTCGTTGAGGGTTTCAGGGATGCGAAGATTCCAACAATATGCTTCGAACCTATCAAGGATCCCAGTATTCCCGCAATACCCTTCTAGACTTTGAAGCATCTGACCATTCCCAGAATACCCTCCTAAGCTTTCAAGCATCGGACGATTCTCGGAATATGCTTCGAAGCTTTCAAGCATC